CCCCCCCAAAAAAAACCCCCCGGGGGGGGGCAGCTGAGGGGCCGGGGCAGGGCTGGGGTCAGGAAAGGTCACTCAGGGTCACTCAGGGGTCACTCAGGGGTCACTCAGGGGTCACTCAGGGGTCACTCAGGGGTCACTCAGGGGTCACTCAGGGGTCACTCAGGGGTCACTCAGGGGTCACTCAGGGGTCACTTTGGGCAGTCAGGGTCAGTTGGGGTCAGTAGGGGTCAGTTTGGGTCATTGGGGTCATTCAGGGGTCACTCAGGGGTCAGTTTGGGGCAGTTGGGGTCACTCAGGGGTCAGCGGGGGTCAGCCAAGGTCACTCGGGGTCACTCAGGGGTCAGTGCAGTCACTCAGGGTCGCTCAGGGGTCAGTTTGGGGTCATTCAAGGTCAGTTCAGGGTCACTCGAGGGTCAGCTTGGGGCCATTCAGGGTCACTCAGAGGTCGCTCAGGGGTCAGTTCAGGGTCACTTGGGGGTCACTCAGGGGTCACTCAGGGTCAGTCCAGGGTCAGTTCAAGGTCACTCAGGGTCACTTGGGGGTTACTCAGGGTCACCAGGGGTCACTCAGGGTCAGTTCAAGGTCACTCAGGGTCACTCAGGGGTTGCTCAAGGGTCAGTTTGGGGTCATTCAAGGTCAGTTCAGGGATACTCAGGGACAGGTCAGGGTCACTCAGGGGTCACTCAGGGTCACTCAGGGTCACTCAGGGTCACTCAGGGGTTGCTCAGGGGTCAGGTCAGGGTCAGACTGGGGTCTGTTTGAGGTCAGTCAGGGTCAGTTCAAGGTTGCTCAGGGTCACCAGGGGTCAGTCAGGGTCAATTTGAGGTCACTCAGGGTCACTCAGGGGTCACTCAGGGTCACTCAGGGTCACTCAGGGTCACTCAGGGTCACCCATTGGTCACTCAGTGGTGGTTCAGGGTCACTTTGAGGTCACTCAGGGTCACTCAGGGGTCACCCAGGGTCACTCAGGGTCACTCAGGGTCGGTTCAGGGTCACTCAGGGTCACTCAGTGGTCACTCAGGGTCACTCAGGGGTCACTCAGGGTCCCTCAGGGTCACTCAGGGTCACTCAGGGGTCACTCAGGGTCCCTCAGGGTCACTCAGGGTCACTCAGGGGTCACTCAGGGTCCCTCAGGGTCACTCAGGGTCACTCAGGGGTCACTCAGGGTCCCTCAGGGTCACTCAGGGTCACTCAGGGGTCACTCAGGGTCCCTCAGGGTCACTCAGGGTCACTCAGGGGTCACTCAGGGTCCCTCAGGGTCACTCAGGGTCACTCAGGGGTCACTCAGGGTCCCTCAGGGTCACTCAGGGTCACTCAGGGGTCACTCAGGGTCCCTCAGGGTCACTCAGGGTCACTCAGGGGTCACTCAGGGTCACTCAGTGGTCACTCAGGGTCAGGTCAGGGTCACTCAGGGTCAGTTCAGGGTCAGTTCAGGGTCAGGTCAGGGTCACTCAGGGGTCACTCAGGGCCACTCAGGGTCGCTCAGGGGTCACTCAGGGGTCACAGCCAGGGCGTCGCCCCCGTGTCCGTCTGTCCATCCGCGAGCACGGGAAGGAGGGGGGCGGGGCGGTGACCGGGGAGGGCGTGGCCGGGGCGGGGCTTGCGGGCAGGCGTGGGCGGGGCCCGCG